TTAATAAATACTAACTATGTGTATATAGTAAAAAAAAAATAAACAAGTCACCTTTCTCTATTCACTTAAAAACAGCGCTTGAAAGATAATAATACTGTTTAGTTGCCCATTTAAGTGTAAAGTAAACACTTGTGAACCATAAAAATAATAAAAGGTAAGGCGCTTAACACAAAGGTACCCAAAGCACTTTAATCATAAGTGCTTACACAATAAATACATTAAAAGTCCAAAAAACACAAGTCCAAAGGTCAGTGATATACTGTATATCCCAGCACCATTAAAAATATTTACGCACTTATGGTTCCTCTTCATCTCTGTCACATCACGTGTGAGAAGAATGCACACTCACCGCATGGAGATGATCCCTTAAAGAGGAACTGCACTGTACCTGAGCACCACAAACAAAAACTGCTATTTAATTCATTGTTAATTTTTAAAGCAAACACCCATCCATTCATGTCTCCATGCGTTATTTTGCTAGGAAATCATTTTGAAAAACACTTCCTGGCATTTTTGGCAGTGGCCATCTTGAGTAAGGGCAGATAAGTCACGTAGCATTTACTTCCTGAAATCCATCTGTCCTTAGCTCATGCATTGGCTGAGCTGAGAGCCCTCCTTCCCCTTCTGAAGAATGCTGGGATATGACATAATTTGTCTAGGCATGGAAACCAGGAAGTAACTGAAGAAGCGTAAAAAAAAAAAAAGTTGAAAACAAGTAAATAGGATATACTTTCCTATCCATTTACTAATGCTAGCAGCTTAAGGATTAAAAATAGTCGATGTTGAGAGAGAGAGTGAAGTTCTACTTTAACAAAGAAGGTCAATATACGCTATTCTGTTAAATTAATTAAGTATGGCACCCCCTGACAATATGCCTATAGGTCATATATGGAATTGTGCAGATCTATATGTCCAAAAAAAGTGCATAACCAATACAATTAATACAGCTGGTGAATACTAAATTAGTGAAAAAAATATCAAATAAGCATCTACCAAAAATAAAAAAGTGTGTGTATATATATATATATATATATGTGTGTGTGTGTGTATGTATGTACAGTATGCATATATTCACACACATATATATATATATACATATATATAGGTGTAGCTGCCCCTTTAAGAGTACTCCTCCAAATAAATATATTAAACATATTATTATTAAAGTATGGCACTCACTCTATACCATAAATTATACCCTGGTGTAACAAAAGAATAATAATAATGAAATTAAGAAATAAAAGGAATAAAAAATAAAAGTATGAAATGTGCCAAAGTCCGACTCCAATAAAATAAGTCCACTCTTTCCTGTGCCAAAACGTCTTAAAAAAAGTGCTTCACCACTTGAACCACTCCAAAGCACTCACCGCCAATTCAAGACCACCTTGATTAAAGGGAAGGTCAAAGAACACTTGGTATCCCAGAAATTCTAATACAGCTCACTGCTCAGCTTTCTTCAGTGTATCAACTCTTCACAAAGCCCAGCTGCTTTCCATCAATTTGAAACCATAGATCATGAAAAATAATTTGTCAGAGTGTAGCATTCATTTACAATTCTCCATAAAAACATGAATCTTAAGAAATGCACTTACAGATAAGGGTGCCCAGTATCTCAGCACCAATACACTAAACATGTGTGCACCACCGCTCCACTTCCTGGAGCTTGGCGTGCATTTCAATCCCCGGAATTGATGTTAGTATTATGCTGGATATGACGAACGTGTAAACTGCCTCTACATGTGTCACCTCTTGGTATCTTCAGGAAGCTCCATTCTGTTCTACATTCTCCACGCTATTCTGTGTCCAGACAACAATGGGTATCACAATTGCCCTGGTCCTGCATCCTTCCCAGAACTCTTGGCAGTCCACTGGTGTCCCATAAATTCCTCATTCATAGATCCTAAATGACATGTATCAAGGAGAATACTCATTGATCAGTATTTATTAGTATTTTAAAGCATAGAAAAAACTATAAGTACCACTCACTTTTTTTAGTGCCACAGATCTGCACCAATATAGACAGACCTTTGGTATGCACACTGCTCCACCTCTTTGCTCCCAGCATGCACTCTAAAGCTCAGAAGTCAACTCAAGAAGTGATGTTCCCTGGAAACTGGATATAATTGACGTAGTCCAGCCTCAATGTTTTTTGCCGCTCTGGCATCTTCAGGAAGCTTCTGGTGAGTGCTTATCCTATAGTGTGTACACCATGGTGAGCAATTCATGAAATTGGTGTAAGACACGAAAGAGTCATTGGAAACCGTTTAAACACATTTTGCACCAAGCACAATATTTCCATGTACATGGTTTTGGAACATGAGGAATTGCTTTCAAGTAGACTCTTTTTTATTGCACAATTTTGTTTGCACTTATGTTTGGTTATTGTAAATTCTGATTGTTATAATTTCAATTGTTGATGTGTAACCTCAAATGTTGTTCAATGGTTTAGACACTTTATACTCATAGTTAGTATATATTACGTTTGATAACACTAGGAACACTGGGCTATACACTTACAGCATTAATTCATTATCATCACTGATAATAAGCACAGTAGCTTAGTTTACCACTTTTAGATTAGATAGGGAAGCACAGAAGTGAATTCAAATGTTGGTGCAATTTTAATATTTACCCCTTTCTGAAACTAACACTTACCTACTGGTCCCATCCTAATATCTAATTCATGGGCTGATATTGTTTAATTAAAATAAGTATCTTCCCAAAGTATTTTACCTTGCAAGTGTTCCCCATCCTCTTAAAACAGTCAGACTTCAAACACAATTAGAAGACATTTTGAGATTTCACAAAGGGGAGTAAGAGAGCAATCACCATTCCCTGTACTTTACAACATCCCACTAACAATGGAGAAATCAACTTGCCTGACCTTGAATTATATACCCTAGCGTCCCATACAGTATCTAGCCTCCAGAAAAACGTGCCACCTCCAGTCTCTACACCTTCTACAGGCAACTCTCACCTCAACCACAGGTCTAATAAATTAACCTTCCTCAGCTGTCCACAGGAAATTTCCCTTACTCTTTGCAGCTATTCTGGAAAATACAAACTTATCATGGAATGCTTAGATTCTACCATCATTTCTACATTTCTCCTCACCTATCCTACTTAATGAGCTTGAGCTCCCCCATCTTGATATAAAACATATTAACATTGTGATATAAAATTTTCTATGCTTTTTTGACATGTCCCAAGATTGAAAATGTTTGAACTATTATAGAGCAATATTTTATCATACATCTAGTTAATAACTTACCTCTATGTCAGGAATGGACTTGCCAGTAATGGTGGGACTCACCTGCCTTGTTGGCTGCAGTACCAGGGCTGGCCAGCGGGTGCTCTCAGCAATCAGAGACTCAACCCTGCAGCCAGCCAAACACCTGAAGCTGATTACGGAGGTGTATTTAAGGGATGGCCAGACCTGCAGTCTGGGGCTTGGTGTGTGTTTTTCCATGGGCCCCTGTATCTTGTTACCTGCATTCCTGTTCCTGTCTGATTCGTTGCCGACCCTGCCTGATCCGGACCTCTGCTGACTTCTCCTGTTTGATCCCTGGCTTGTGACCCTGACCATTCTCTGCCTGACCCCCTGTACCTACCTGCCCATTAGTTGCTGTACCCGGCTCGTGACCTGACTACTCTCTGCCTGCTCCTCCTGTTCCTACCTGCCCGATTGTTATTGACCCGGCCTGCCTGATGACGCTTGCATTGTATGTATTGTTATCTGTGGGTGGTTTGGTTCGTTTGCACTGCGTTTATGTATTGTTAGTATTAATATATTATATTGTTTATAACATATCTGAATCCTGCGTTTCCCTGCGTCAGTTCACATACCTTTGGTCATACCCGGAGCCCTAACACTCTAACTCCTGCACCGCATATTAGACATCCTTGGCACCAGATTCTTCAAAGAATACAAGAATGCAAGAAACTTTTGCATAAATAGATTTATCTTGACCCTCCAACCATTGCACTATTCCTAGAAAAACTAACCTTTATGTTTTGTATGGAGCGGGTGAAGGACTCCCTACACAAAAAACTCAAGTTCAGACATTTTTTGAAACCTGGGAATCATTTATCCAAACCCTTACAATTGAAACTAAGCAAGTGAGTATTTCAAAATATTCAATAGCATTTAACCTAGCGGCAAAAGATGCCTTGTTTGATTTCCCATCAGGAATACTTAATCCGAGATCTATGTTTAATGCCTGAGGCCACTACCTTCTTATGCATGGTTGGGTAGAGGGTCAGTCCACCAAAACACGTGTTTACCTGGGAGCAATTCTATAGTTATTCTTTGTTTTCAGTTAGCACACATGGTATTACGTCATTGTATGTACAGTATATGTCTATTTCAGTGACCTGTTTTTGTGGCCTCCTTCTTGTTTATAGAATTATTCAATAAAATAAAAGGTAAAAAATATATGTTTGATTAAGAGCTGGAATTATGTGGGGTTTTTTTTTTACAAGGAATTATCTTAAAAAAGAAATGCTTATATTATGTGGGGTTTTTTTTTACAAGGAATTATCTTAAAAAAGAATGCTTAAAGCGGAACTCGAGGCACAAACGTTTTCATTTAAATATATTTTTACTTTCTGAAAAAAAAAAATCAAATGACAAAAAAAGACACAGAAAAATAAGGGAAAACATGAAAACACTTTGTAAACAAGTGAAGATTTTCGTAAATACTGTATATATTTTTTAAAGTAGTCTGTCTGCTCAGAAAATGTGGAAAAATGAGAGGCTATTTTCACAGAAATGTCATTGCAGGTGAAATTTCTGCAAAAAAATTTCACTTAAATAACTTTGTTTATCCCTAGTTGGTACATTTACTGGAAAAAGCCTAACTGTACCACTTATAACAACATATTAAGTACAAAGAAAGGAATACGTCTGTAGAAACATGTTCACGTGATTTTCAATAGATTATTTAATTGTTTATGAATTGTTCATAATGTCTACTTGTTTCAGGTATACAGCAGTGGCAATGCCAATGCTCTACAATACTCGCTACAGTTCCAAACGAAGAGTGACTGTCATGATTGCAGTGGTTTGGGTCCTTTCATTTGCGATCTCTTGCCCCCTCTTATTTGGACTCAATAACACAGGTAATTATTGCAGTTTGAACTGTCTTACTAATATGAGGTCTAACTCTCTTTGGATGATCAGATGTCCTTACCTGCTTATTGTCCTTTGGGGATTGAAATCTTGGTAATGTGATCACATTTTTACAGTTTTGGTTTATGCTGGAACACTTGAAAATCTTTATAGTGAACCAAAATAATTTGATTTCTTTGATTACATGACCATCTTTTATTTGGTAGATTGTATTATTGAAGACCCTAGATGTATTGTTTATACTGTGAGCAAAAAAAATTCCAAACATTGTTTTTAAATAGCACTGGATATGTATTGCATATCATTTTTTAATAACTGTAATTGAATAAATGACTTTAAAAAAACTGGGCTACATTTGCACTATACACCAGTGGTTCTATGTATTTGGCTGATGGGGCATAAATGAATGATTTGCATGGCTCTGTGCACTATCCTGAAAAAAGAGGAATGATTCTCCTATTTTTAGTATATGTAAACTGTTTTGTGTACTAATTCAGTTAGAGGGCTTTTTAAATTTCTTTAGTCTCACCTCACCATTTTGGATGAGTATGGGTCAACCATGAGCCATCCAAACCCAAGCTGTTCACAGTTCAATAAACAGGTGATCTAAATGGGCAGATCTGGCCAGTTCACCCAAAAAGTTCTGCTGCCACTGCCAGAAGCCATTTATTTCATGATGGTATTACTAACACAACTAAATTACAGCTTCTGGCCCCCACTGGATTGAATTAATAACAAAATGTGGCCTGTATGATACAGAATAAGGTGGGACACAATTGTTGCCCGTATCTTTTCTAACCAGCCAGGTTGAAAGCCTGATTATGGGTCTGATATGGATTTTGGGGGACCCATGCCATATTTTCCTTCCTGTTCTTCTGGTATAGATTTTGAGCAGGACAACAAACAAAAGAAAAATGGTGTAGGGTCCTGGTCAAAATCCATGTCAGATGTTTACCAAAATATACAGCCTTGGTGGTCAAGAAAGATGAAGGGCAGTGATGTAGGCACCCCCACTCCTGAACCAAAATAGGCATGTTCTAATAGGAAAAAATAACCCCACAACATTTTATTCAGCTTAAGGGTCTGGTATGAATTTTAAGGGAGAAACGAAAACAAAATAAACAAACTAAAAAAGTGGGCATCCATGATAAGGGTCTGGTAAAGATTTTGAGGCTGGCCCCCACAAAAAAAAAAGGCATGGAGCCCCCCCAAATTCATACCATACTATTATCCAGGTATGCATTTTTTCTGGTCCAGAAATAGATTGGGCAGCAAGAGTGTGCCCCCCACCTGAACCATAATTGGTCACGTCTTCAACATTGGAGAGGCAACTTGCCAGGGGGGCTCCCTGGAAAGTGCAGCAATTGTACCCCTTGCTACTCATTCACAAAAAAATAAAATAGTAAATAAAGCACAAAGACACAGTGAAAAAGTAAAAATGTGGGTAATATGGTGCAGGAGGTGTAGGAGGTAAAAGAAGACTTCGGTGGGAAGGACAACCATTTAAATAAATAAGTTCTCTATGTATGCCCTTAGGCCGTAACTTCCATTGTGCCATAAATCCAGCAAACTTCACACAGCACCTCTAAGAGACTGAAGATTTCTCAAAAATAGCAGAAAACACAGTAGGGTGTGAAGACTAAGTGTAGCGGGTGTCACATACTTTATTACAAACAATGACAATTGGCAACTCACATGAAGATGATCATAAACATACTTCTCTTGCCTACTGCACTTAGATTTGTGCCTCCTTTCTGTCTTCTTAGTCACTACAGGTGTTCTTCCTTTCAGTGCTCCTACCTGGTCAGCCCACTGACCTCCCATCTGAATGAGAACACTCTGACTCTGATAGTAAGCAATTCATGTTCATCCTTATGTGAGTTGCCAATTGTCATTGTTTGTAATAAAGTGACACCCACTACACTTAGTATGTGCACCATACTGGGTTTACAGTGAAAAAAGCATTTATTGAAAACATTAACCATTGTCCGGTGATGTAAATCCAACCTCAATCACACTGTCCATCATTGTAGATCCATCGTCAGTCACGATTCATGATACCCCAATGACCTGCAGACATGGCACCCAGTACCACAATGATCTTCTCCCATTATACCCCTCCACAAATAATAGTTCCCCATCTGGCTGCTGAATGTTAGCAAACTGGCTGAGGATGCTGGCTACTGTCATTGATCACATATGGTCATGACTATATGTAGTTATTGATGCCAACTGGGATCCCATAGATGCTTTGTTTATAAGCAGAAGCCAACGGGGAAATTAATCTCATTTAGCAGCAATAGTTTTTTTTGTTTGTTTAAAAGTCACTTTTTTATGAAGTACATCCTACAGGTGCCCTTATTCACATACGGGTTTAAGGCACCCTCCAAGCATGTTATTTAAAGGAATTATATCTTTTTTAATACTGACCTTTAAGCTAAAAGCTAAAAGGCCTGTTTCCTGCAGAGCTGTCATCTATTTTTTTTTACATTCATTAGTATATGTTTCCATGAAAAAAATACAGATTTCTGCTCTGACAGAGTTTAATATGGTTTGGCCACTATGTTCACTCATCACTAGTTACCATAACCTGTATGGTTATACATAGTTACATAGTTGGTGAGGTTGAATAAAGACACTAGTCCATCCATTTCAACCTGTGACACTAGTCCATCCATTTCAAGCTGTGACACCAGTCCATCCATTTCAACCTGTGACACCAGTCCATCCAGTTCAACCTGTGACACTAGTCCATCCAGTTCAGCCTGTGACACCAGTCCATCCATTTCAACCTGTGACACCAGTCCATCCATTTCAACCTGTGACACCAGTCCATCCAGTTCAACCTGTGACACCAGTCCATCCATTTCAACCTGTGACACCAGTCCATCCAGTTCAACCTGTGACACCAGTCCATCCATTTCAACCTGTGACACCAGTCCATCCAGTTCAACCTGTGACACCAGTCCATCCAGTTCAACCTGTGACACCAGTCCATCCAGTTCAACCTGTGACACCAGTCCATCCAGTGACACCAGTCATCCAGTTCAACTGTGAATACTGTTATACTGTCTCATTGTATCCTAAATTCTATTCCCTAAAAGCTATCGTTTCCGTATACTCCACTGATGATGGCCGGAAATCCTAAAAACAGCTGTATGCAGTTTGGAATAAATGGCTCTTTAATATTAGTCTACAATATATCTGCACTATACACCAGCATTTTTGGATGTGTATTTGGCTGTTGGGGCATTAAGGATTATTTTGCATGGCTCAACCCCCTGCTCTGGAATGAGGAAAAATCCTGGTATTTTTGGGCTATAGATGCATGAGACATGTGAATACGTCCACTTCTAAGAAGGCTTCACTGTGCAGTGCACTAATTCATTTGGAGGGCTTTTTGATTCCTTTATTTCATTCTTAACGTAATCTTTATGGCCATATTGTCTTGTTGGGTCCAAAGCACTACTCTAGAACTCATGGTTTCCATACATTGTACTGATGATAGCCAAAAAGCCTTAAACAGCTGCATGTAGTTTGGAATAAATGGCTCTGTACTATTAGAATATATTTGCACCAAGCACCCATGGGTCTAGATGTGCTGATGGGGCAAAAGGAATGATTTGCGTGGATCCACTAACTCCTGCAATGAGACAAAAACCCTCTTATTTATTTATGGATATGTGATGGAATGAGACCTGTCAATGCCTTCTGTTTAAAGGAGGCATTACTGTGCTAATAACTATGATCGTAGTACTATTGCAAACATTTTATTAAAAATATTTTCTCATACATGCAATGCTGTAAAATAATTGAAAACCATGTAGGGATGTTTTTGAATTCCATGGGGTTACTTTCTATCAGGTAACATGTTTGGTAAGGTTGAATAAAGACACCAGTCCATTTAGTTCAACCTGTGAATTCTGTTATACTGTCCCATTGAGTCTGTAGCTCTCGGAGGATTTAGGCTAGGTTCACATGTATGGGGCTTGTGTGGGCACAGCAGCCCTTTCATTTGAATGGGCTGCTGTGCCTGCTTTTCCTGCAGGGAAAAGTCTCTTCACCTTTTTTATAATACAGCCACATGGAAATAACATGGTACTTTAGCACCATGCATTTCCATGTGTGGGAAACTGCACTGCATTTTTCAGCGTGTAGAGATGCCATTAAGAGTTAATGGCACCACCATGAATTTTCTGTGCAGCGCCAAGTTTTGTGTGCTGCTGCAGGAACGTGTTCTACTTGAACCTAGATGTGAACCTAATCTTAGAGGATAAGTACACTCTCTACTTCCAAAACAACTGAAAGCAACCCCTTCTACTCCAATATAGGGGTTGATTTACTAAAGGCAAATAGACTGTGCACTTTGCAAAGTGCAGTTGCACTCTGCAAGTGCAGTTGCTCCAGAGCTTAGTAAATGAGCAGAAGCTCTGATGACTTTCATCATCTAATCACATGCAAGCAAAAAAGCTGTTTTTTTTTTTCCACTGAACTTGATTGGGTAATCTTTACAAAGTGAAGCTTTACCTCATTTACTAAGCTCTGGAGCAACTGCACTTTTTAAAGTGCAAGGTCTATTTGCCTTTAGTACATCAACCCCTTAGTATCTACATACCATGGTTGTGGTTTGATATGAACTTGGTATCATAGGTATCCTTCAGCTAAAATCTCCTTTGCAAATTTCTTTACCAATAAAATTAGATTTGCATAACATCCAATGGACCTGCCTTAATAAAAGGTTATACACAACCTATGAAGATAGATCTGTTTGTGTTGCTGGTTCGCATGAGTACATAGATGTATATGTACTTAGCAAACGCAATCCCCGAACTGATTTCGGTAAAGCTTGTTCAATGACTATGGTGCAGTCCCCATTTGCAGTGGTCATCGAACATTCGATCAATGCTATTTTTGTTCCTTAACCTCCTTAGTGGTATTCCCGAGTGTAGCTCGGGGTAAAATTTGAGAACCAAGTGCGGTAACCCCCGAG